CAGACTTGAAAAATACGTATTTTTTTATGTTGGTCAGTATGTTTGGTTTTGCTGTCTGTAGATAATATTGGCATGGATGTAGACTGTATTGACGTTTACTTTTGTCGGCGAGGTCTTCTTTATGTCTTTATATCTCTATCTTCACACACACAGGTCTGATTGTGACAAATCTGCAAACGGATCATCTGGAGGGTAAATACATCTCCAGTTAACCTGGAACACTTTTTTGTCCTGTGAAATATTTGATTTTTGTGAATTTAAATAAGCCAGTGTAGCGCAATCTGATCTAAATCTGCCAACATCATATCAATGTATTGATGTTATACTGAACACTTGGCGGTCTGTTACCACACGGTTTGTAACCTTCATGTCAGAATAACGTACACACTGGGTTGGTCTCCTGTCTCTGTTGCTTTCCTACTAACATGTTTTAATAGTGATCAATGAGCGATCACAGCTCCAGCGGGTCCGACTGCGCTCACGTAGTTTCTTTCATGGAGCCCGACAGTGGCTTGACTTTTTTGTGGGTCAATGTCAGAGCAGGTTAGACTGAACGGCAGCTCATAATGTGTTCATCACACTGACCACAGTTATTCAAAACACTTTGAATGCACAGTGAAATATCCAAATGCAGAACAACGTGTACAGCGTTACTGACACCAGTCTTTACATACCTCGCCGTTGCGCTGCTTTCTGGTGTGGCTCCGTTGGTGTTGTTTCAGGGAACCTGACAATCTAAAAGTCTTACTACACTCGTCACATCTGTATGGTCTTTTCCCAGTGTGGACACGTTGGTGAGCCTTTAGGGACGCAGTGGAGCTGAAGCCTTTCCCACATTGGTCAGGATGGTACGGTTTAACCCCGGTGTGGGTAGCTTCATGGGCTTTAAACTGTGCATAATGTACAAATAGGTTGCCACAGTGATTACACACGTAAACATCTTGTCCAGTGTGGATGCGTTGATGACGGTTTCGGTTCGTTTGGTTCTTGAAGGCTTTTCCACAAAAGTCACAGTGGTACGACTTCCTTCCAGAGTGGGGGCATTGATGGATCAACAGTTCATGTTCACCAAAGGTTTTCACACACTGGTCACAGCTGAACGGTTTACCTTCACTGTGGATGAGTTGATGGGCTTTTAAAGTAGCTTTCCGAGCAAAACTCTTCCCACACTGATCACAGCTGAACGGTTTAAGTCCACTGTGGATGAGTTGATGTTTTCTTAAATCACTACTATGACTAAAACTCTTCTCACACTGATCACAGCTGAACGGTTTAAGTCCACTGTGGATGAGTTGATGGGCTTTTAAATTACCTTTCAGAGTAAATCTCTTCCCACACTGGTCACAGCTGAACAGCCTAAGTCCACTGTGGGTGAGTTGATGGGTTTTTAAAGTACTTTTCAGAGTAAAACTCTTCCCACACTGGTCACAGCTGAAC